AACCCCGAGCAGCAAACTTCCGACGACAAGGCGCCAGTTGCCGTCGGCTGAATACTGGCCTTAGTCGCGGCCAAGGAAAACAAACCCAGCTCCAATTTTGCGGTCCGACCTCTGACCTCAGACCGGCGACCGAGAGCAGCAACCTTCCCACAGAGCCGAGCACAGACAAGCGTCAGACTGTCGGAGTGCCGAGCCCGTGACCGAGAGCCCGCCTAACCGCGGACTAGAAGCAAGAGCTGCCAACAGCACCTTAAACCAAGCCTAGGACGAGCCACTCTTTTCTTTTTCTTAAGCCAGAGAAAGGTACCTTTAGCCGAACTTTAGCCCTTTCTCCTGATCGAGAATTTGTGATTTAAAGTGCTTCAGTTTAAGTTTTCTTAAGATTTATGGCATGCTAGCATTAGAAAGATAAGGAGTTAAGGAGTGGCATGTTTTGAATTGTGTATGGCCTGTTTGTACGAACACTTAGCTGAGCCTTTTTCGTGTCTTATGTGGCATGGTTGTTTTGGGCATTCTTTGTTATGGTTTTAGCTGAGTTGTTGTGCTGCGTTTTACATGATGTTAGTGTCCATTTTCAGAGGTATAAATTCAGTTTTGAAGTCGTGTAATGAGTTGGTAAAATTCGAGGAAAAGAAAGGCTTACGGTTATGATGTTGGCCGAGTATTTTTGCCCTGTTTGTACTGAGGTTTAATACATGTATAACATGTTGTAATTGTTTACTCTTCAGAATTTTGTTTAGCAAGTTTGGCCTCCTTAGGTCGCGATCGATCTTAATAAAAAGAGAGATATGTTGGGATATTTTGAGACTGTTGGGAGGTGTTTGTGCTATAAATTATGTGTTGTTCTTGCATTGGTTTGTGAGTATTTTGTTGGCTAAAAATTCAGTAAAGAGAAATGTTTTAAGCATGCTTAAACTGGTAAGTTTGAATAATAAATACATGATGATTGATTAGTGGTATCATGTGGGGTGGTGGTAGGCTATGTTTCGATTTTTTTTTTTTTTTTTTTATTGTGCTGAGCCATTTGGTGCGAATATTATGCTGTAAGTATGTGACTTTAATAGCATTATCTTCAATTCAAAATCCTGCCTTGAGTTATCAACGATTAAGAAAAAGAAGGAAGCTTAAGTCATGTGTTTAGTTGCGTTATTTAATGTGTTCATGTAGTTGTTATCTTGGGTTTTCCTTGCGTTGTAAATGTGATGTACATGTGCTGCGTTGGTGCACATTTTCAGAAAAATAAATGTCCAATTTAAGGCCTAAGCATTGTGTGCTAAGAATTGATTTTCGTGCCTTAGTAGTTACAGAAAAAGGAGAGCATGCAATGCTTTGTTATTTTCCCTTATATTTTGAGCATGCTTTAAGATGTGTTTTGTTGATAGTTTTGTTGCCATCATGCTCTACTTTCAGAGGTTAGAACTCAGTTTAGAAGTGCTTAAGTTATGCGTAAGTTGTAAGGGATTAAGAGAAGTTTGAAGCTTAAAATGTGTTATTTTGTTTTGATCCTTGCCTTGCTTTTGGTGACTCGTTTTGGTGTTGTTTTCATGTGGATTATATGTTGCATCTATGTGCTCTATTTGCCTTAATTGCCTTAATTGCCTTGTTTGCCTTATCTACCTGTGTGTTTTGTGTGTTTTGCCTTTTGCCTGTTTGTTGCCGCCCTTAAGTAATAAGATGAAAAATTATTGTAAATCGTAGATTTTGAGGAGTCGAATCTCGAGAGTTGCTCCGAGTGACGTCAGCTACTCGTCATCTGCATTCTTTTCTCACATCATCAGTTATCAGGTGGGGGGGGGGGGGATAACTGGGGGTTCTATACTATGGTTTATTCTTTATGAACATACGGTAGTATAGTTTTTATATGCTTGTAATTGTGGGCCGGTGGGCTTAATGTGTGATGTGAACTTATACCATGACGGCTTGAAATAAGAGCCACTAGGCCGGGAAATTATCAGTTAAGTTATCTACTAGCGGGACTGGGTAATGCCAATGGCACTAGTAGAGTTAGTTATTAGCGGGATCGATTGATGCCGAATGCACTAGTAAGTAACTATACCGACGTTCATGAACATAGGTTAACGGCGTATAATAGCTAATTAGCCGGGTAAATTATGGAGGCTTGAAATAAGAGTCACTAGTCCGAATTTACCTGGAGGCTTGAAGCCGGGATGATATCAGTTAGTGGTGTGAGACAGTAAGTTTTGCAATATAATTATTATCCTATCTATGTTTATATTGAATCGATGCATAGTATGAATTTTACCATTGAGCCGAGAGACGGTGCTCACCCCCTTTGTTTTTCAGGTTGATCGAGCTGGCGGAGGACACGAGAGGACGGACGTGGTCGTCTTTAATTATATTTATATTTTCTGTAAACTCTATTGAAATTTGTATTCAAATTTGAACGTTTGAATTACAGATTGATTAAGTGAAACGTGTTTATTTTAAAACATTTATTTATGTTCTGAATGTCTTGATAGAAATAATAGCTTTTGTAATGTCAGTCGAAATTGAGATAGATTAAGTAATGCCCGTTACACAAATTTTTAAAATGATTTGCAAAAAATAAACTCTGGTTTTTAGAAAAATATTCGGTATTTTATCTTTTAAATAACGGGGCGTCACAATTTTTTATTAGTGTATAATCTTTACTTGTCAAAAAATGAATAGTATTCAATTCAGTGTTGAAAATCAACATTTTTTTTTTTTTTTTTTGGTGAAAGTAAAATTTAATTTTTAAGTGATTTTTGCTATTTTTCTATGAAAGTAGAATTTATTTTTTTAAGTGATTTTTGCTATTCTTTTGTGAAAGTTAAATTTAAGGATGGTAGGATGAGTTTTAAGCAAAAACATCCTTTTCTTTGGGCAAATTGCTAGGAAATATACCTTTTTTTTTGGTGATTTTTATATGTAAAAGTGGTTTTAGTTTTTATTTTATCAATAATTAAATGTGAACTTTGAGATTAACTAATTCAAAATAAAATTACGAATCTTAATTTTAGAAGTACAAGTATATACTAAAAAGAAAAATATGCCACAAAAAATAAAAATCATTTAAATGAACCTATTACAGCCGTCTTAATAGTCAAAAAGGTTCTAATGATTGCAACTTAATAAATTGACAATAGTCAAGAGAAGAACTAATTATTACTTGAGCAAAAAAAACACACACACACACACATAGACTCACACACCTCTCACGAAACAACGCCACGTGTACCGCTGCTATCTCCAAGAATTAAATATGCTGAGCTGCGCCATTTTCTGAGTAATAGAAGAACTGTGGTTACCTGCTCTGTCTCACCACCACAGAACCCTATATATCAAATTACATGTCAATTTGAAAAAAAAAAAATAAAAATAAAATAAAATTAATAGTTCAAATCAACCATCATTCAATCATTCATTCTTGTCAAAGGTAAACTCTACACTATTTTCCTTGCTTTTTTCCCTTCTTGTTTATTTATTTATTTTAGTTTCTTTCTGAACACAAATCCCTTTTGCGGGCCGGGCTGTTCGAAACGGTTCAGATGTTGGGTTTTGATTTCGATTTGTCCGTAGTATTCTGCAATAGATATTGATGGCTGTTCATGTTTATCATCTGGGATTCAGATCGAATCGATGTTGTTTGTTCTGGTCGGATGTTTGTTAATCTGAGGAGAGTGTAGTTTTTAGCTTGAGACTCCGATTTGGTGTTCTTGTTTTCCTGTTTCTGTTTAAGAAAGTGAAATTTGATATGCCCATTTGTTGTGTTGGAAAAAAGGTTTGAACTTTACTGTGCCCAGATTTGGCTTTTGTCTGAAACCAAAAATCACTGGAGGTTTTAGTAGTTTTAGATTTATGGGTCACCTGCTGTTGCCATTGTCAATATCTTGAGCTACTAGTTTTTGATGGTCAAGCTATTGATGTACTTCTTGTTATTCGTTTCTTAATTTCCCTTGAAGCTCGGAACTTGAGTTTTCGACTTGCTATCTTCCATTGAGGCGGCGGCTACTAGCCATTTCCGTAATATATGTGGTTGAATGATCCTACATTAATGTTTGGTGGAAACATGAGTGTTGGTGGATTTTGACCAAACTCAATGATCTCCATATAGTTTACCACAAATCAAGGAGATAAAAGGTTTACATTCTTTTTATAAGAAAAAAAGGATGTGATTTTTGTTGTATACGGTTATGGCACTCTTAGAAAAAACTAGCTTCTATTATGATTAAGATCAAATGTTTTCTGGTTTACAAGTGAATTTGAAGTACTTTTAAGTCTAGTAGAAAACCGTGCAGTATAGGTTAAACTCTGTCAAAGCATCATATGTGAAATTAGAATATAGTATTTGTAGTTTTAGATTAGGAAATCCCCTTCTAAATCTATATTGTTGGGCTTCTATAATGGAGGAGTTTGAGAATATATAATTGCAGGATTTCTGACTTCAAAGTAGAAATTAAAAATAGTAAAAAAATCGTAGTTTTAATGGTGTTCAAAGTTTCTACACCCCTTTCTTGGTAAAAACATCATAGTTTTGATGCTTTTACTACAGCCAAACAATAAACAACTTCCAAATCGAAAGAATCTGAGTAAGGCTTACTCAAATTGAGTCTACTTCACTTTAGACTTTCGACATAGAATAATTAATTTAGTATTCCACAACCCTTACTCCACCCTCAGAGATCTTATCCAGATTTCTTTACCTTCTTCAATACCTTCTTCATCCCCATTCTCTCTCTTTGCAGGCTTTTTTACAGTTGCTTCTTTGACATAATTATTTCTAGAAAGAATTATATGTTACTCTTCTTTGTGTGTATGTGTGTGTGTGTGTGTGTGTGTGTGTTTTTTTTTTTTTTTAATATATTCATGAACCACTATCTTGTGTTTGTTTCAGGATTTCAGTTTGTGCTGTTTGAACCTGGAGGCCACCAAGATTGTATCAGAAACTACTTTAATATCAGAGGATTCCAGGGATTTTGTTGTTGTGATCTATAGAATGTTTGTTTTTTGCAAGCTAAATGATCATGGATCAAACGGGGCATAGCGGGTCATCATTCCCCGGAATGAAATTTAGCAACCAAACTCTCCCAGTATTTGTGGATCCCAATCTGATCAGCAATTTGAGAGTCAATGATAATACCTTCATAAACGGGAGTAGTCCTAATGATGTCACCCCCCGTTCGAATCCCGATGCCCAAGTCCAGTCATCCGAAGGCAGCCCTCAGGAGGATCTCGATCTTAGTGATATGGTGCTCAAGTACATAAACCACATCCTCATGGAAGAGGATGTGGAAGAAAAGGCGTCCATGTTCGAAGAGTCTGCAGCTCTTCAAGCCGCCGAGAAATCATTCTATGAGGTCATTGGCAAACAATATCCGATTTCCAAAGACTACAGTAGTAAGCGTGTCCTCGATCTGAATCAGACCTTTGTGGACCCCTCCGAAAATTCATCAAATGGCACAAGCACCTTGTGCCCAGACTGGAATTATGATGCCGCTAGTGTTGTCCCTTCGCAATCTTCGCATAGTTCGTCGAGCAGCAGTGGCACCATTACCGACTTCCCCATTGATTCTCCCGTGAGCACCCTGAAAATTCCCGATATATTCGGCGATAGTCGGTCGGCTATGCAGTTTAAAAAAGGAGCAGAGGAAGCAAGCAAATTTCTACCTACCGGCAGCAAACTAGTTCTTAATTTAAGTCGAAACGAGCAGTTGCCGCTTGAGAAGGCACAAAACCCATTGTCAGCTAATCCGGTGCTCGTTCAAGTATCCAGGGGAAAAAGGAATCCACCCCACGAAACCCCAGGCTTGGCAGAGGATGGAAGGAGTAACAAACAATCAGCCATCTATACAGAGTCGAACGTGAGTCCCGCCATGTTTGACATGGTTCTCTTGTGCAGCGAAGGAAAAAACGAGCAAGCCATCCGGGAAGAACTCATCGAGGTTACCAAAAGCACCCCACCGCAGAACATCCAGCCACACAAGCCGGACAGTGGCAAGGGCACGACCAAGAAAAAACGAGGCAAAAGGAATGTGGTTGACATGCGGACGCTTTTGACCCTATGCGCACAGGCTGTGGCGGCAGATGACCGACGAACGGCATCCGAATTTCTCAAACAGATTAGGCAGCATGCGTGCCCAACCGGGGACGGCATGCAGAGGCTGGCCCATTACTTTGCCCAGGGCCTCGAGGCTCGTATGGCCGGGTCTAGCACCCAGATATACAAATCCCTCTTCAACATGCCCACATCGGCTGCCGACTTCCTCAGGGCCTATCACATATACCTCGCCACCTGTCCCTTCCGGAAGATCTCCAATTTCTTCTCGAACCGGACCTTCATGAATGTGGCCCAGGATGTCTCGACTCTCCACATCGTCGACTTTGGCATCCTGTACGGCTTCCAGTGGCCCTGTTTGATACAGCGCCTCTCGACCCGGCCCGGCGGCCCCCCGAGGCTCCGAATCACGGGGATCGACTTCCCGTGCCCTGGCTTCCGCCCCTCGGAGCGGGTCGAGGAGACGGGCCGGCGCCTGGCCCGCTACGCAGAGACCTTCAAAGTCCCGTTTGAGTTCAACGCCATCGCCCAGAAGTGGGAGACGGTCAGGCTCGTGGATCTCGGGATTAAGAACGATGAAACCGTCGTGGTCAACTGCCTGTACAGGTTCCGGAACCTTCTAGACGAGACGGTTGTGCTGAACAGCCCGCGTAACATAGTCTTGAGCCTCATCAGGCAGATGAACCCGGCCGTGTTTGTGATGGGGATCGTGAACGGGGCCTACAACGCGCCCTTCTTCATCACGAGGTTCCGGGAGGCGCTTTTCCATTACTCGTCGTTTTTCGACATGTTGGACGAGAATATCCCTAGGGAGACCCCCGAGCGAGTGCTGCTGGAGAAGTCGATATTGGGCCGGGAGGCGATGAACGTGATCGCGTGCGAGGGGGCAGAGAGGATCGAGAGGCCCGAGACGTACAAGCAGTGGCAGGTGAGGAACATGCGGGCGGGGTTCGAGCAGCTGCCCCTGGACGAGGAGCTGATGAGTATAGCGAGGGGGAAGGTAAAATCGTCATATCACAAGGATTTCATCGTGGATGAGGACGGGCGCTGGCTGCTGCAGGGGTGGAAGGGACGCATTGTGTACGCGCTTTCGACATGGAGGCCCGTTTATTGAAAGAAGTCTCGTCATGTTGAGCTTTAGTTCTGGTAGTTGTATGTGTAGTTGGTCTGGTCATTGTTGTTTAAACTGCATCTAAAGATGAATCTTGTTAGGAAGGACTATTTTGCATTTGGACCATCTGGATTTTGGGAAATTACATTTTCATTTCCTTCAAGGTGAGTAGAATCTGATTGAACTCTTGTGTATTTTTTATAATCTAAAGTTTTGCAGTTCAATATTTCTTGGTCATGACTTTTGGAGAAAAAAACAAATAGTAGAAGAGAAAGTCAATAAAAAACCAACACAACCAAATCGTTTTGACTCATGCAGTTTTCTTTTCTTTTTATCATTATTTTCCTTTATGGGATTGGGAGTACAATGTTGATCGGTAACTGCTGTAAGAAAATGAATTTGAACATTCTAATTTGGAGGTTTTTTTTTTAAAAGGTAATTCTATTTTGCTCATATTGATTTGACAGATGGGCGAAGTTTGTGATACCAAATAGTGATAAGGTGTGCTCTATACCCATAGTTTTTAAACCCGGCCCCGTAGTCGACCCGGGCAGGTCACCGGGTCACCGGGTCTCGGGTCGAGCCGCCGGACGGTCCGGGTAAAAAAACTATGTCTATACCTATTAAAATATTTATTATTATTATTATTATTATTATTATTATTATTATTATTTATTAATTTATTTATTTTTAAATTGGTGCTCTTTCTGTTCATTCCATGCATTTATCCATTCAAAATCAAGTAAGCAACTACATTTATTTCTTTCATTCCGTTAATTACATTGATGCTGAATTTGATATTACCATGAAAAAATGAGAAAAAAAAAAAAAAAAAAANNNAAAAAAAAAAAAAAAAAAACTACATATCGGTTATCTGCCTAAATTAACAACCAAACCTGACTTTCCTGTGTAAGTACATTTCCATGTTAATCAATACTTAAAACTAGTCCTTTTGGTTTTGGGTCTCTTCGTTTAAGCAAAATAGGCAATTGAAAACGATTTATACGTTTAGTCTCCTTGGTAGGAGCTTTGAGTCTTCTGTGTAGTAGTTTTATTCTCGTTTGTGGGAGTTGTTGTGAGTCTTAGGTTGGTTTTGTTCAGAATGACTCATGTGTGTACTCCTCCTAGATTCGGCTTGATAGCTGTTGGGCTTATTCTAACTGATGTCTAGATGCAATCGTGTTTTTTGTTATAAAACCTATCGTTTCGAAAAAAAAAAAAACGATTTATACGGAATACAAAAGAAAAGCACTGAGTTTAAAAAGAATAAAAATGCTAGGTTTGGCCGCCGCAGCAACGACGGCTCCCACCGCGACGGAGAAATTGGTTGACCCTAGGGTCCACCCGTCGGATCCTTTCCCCAGTTTACAGGTCGCGAACCCGCTTGGAGCCTCTGGTCCCCGCCTCTCGAAGAAGAGACGCTCTGTTGTCCCGCTCGACAGCACACCGGTACCGGAACCTACCTCTCCCGTGGACAAGGTTGTCCCTCCCACAGAATCGAACAATAAGCCCCCTCCTTCGAGTTTCAAAGACACCCTCACCAGGACTCGCTCCCATGTTGTCCTCGATGGTGATGATGACTGAGATGGCCAGGATGGTGACGTCTTTGTTGACTTCTCTGCTCCTGTCCCGGACATCCAAATGACTGACGCTTTCTACGAGAGTCAGGTTCAGTCCTTCAAAAACGTTATTGTGGTCAAATTGCTTGGACTTCGTATGCGTATGGAGACATTACAACGTAAACTGTTGGATTTATGGCCGTTCATGCGTGATTGCCCCATACTCGATGCTGAAAACGATTATTTCATGCTCAAAAGCACGACGATGTCCTTACCGCGCTTGTTGGGGGGCCATGGGTGATTAATAGACACTATCTTCATGTATTACAATGGTTTGACGAGTCTTCTGACCAGATCACCTCCACGGTCGCGTGGATTCACCTGTCGGGCTTGCCGGTGCACCTCTATCACAAGAAAGTCTTTCGCACTATTGGGCAAATTGTGGGGAAGGTGCTCAAGATTGATCACCAGACAGCAGCTCAGACCCGGGGAAAATTTGTGCGCTTGGCAGTCCAGCTGAACTTATCGAGCCCACTCCGAACTCACTTTACAATACGCGGGAAGGTCCAGAAAATCGAATATGAGATGCTTCCAGATATTTGCTACTCATGTGGACGTTGTGGTCATCTGATCACGGCCTGCCCGAACCGCCCGGTAGACAAGAACGTGGGAGAACCTTATAGTGCTGCTGGAGGAGCTTCTCATTCGACATCCACAGATGTGGAAGCTGGGAAGGACACGACTCAGTTTGGGCCGTGGATGAGGGCCAAGACGGGACCCCGACAACAGCCTTGGGCTAATAATCTGGCCCCTACCGGCCCTAGACGAAGCAGACTAGTGGGAATAAATCCTCGGGCTCGCGTTTTGCGTCGTTGGCAGACGATGAGGGGCTAGAGTTGGCCACAAATCATGGAATTCCCAAGACCAACAACGTTTTTAACAGCCTTGACAAGGGTAAAGATGCTTTCAAGGCGCCTGAAACGAGCTTCCGAGCCACGAGGTCGCGTGCTTTGCTGAGGAATACTGAGGACCCACCTAACTTGGGTGCGGGTGACTGGCAGGCCGTACTAACTAAGACTGGAAACAAAGGCAAGGGACGAGATGGGAAAGCCGCCACTTCGAACACCATTACGGATAATCCCGGCTCCCGGTCGACAGTGGAACCAACCGGTTCAAAGGGTGGACAACACGGATGGCAAATGAGACTCGAGCCACCTTCCCAGCGTGCAAATCATGCATTAATACAAACGATCGAAGTGCCACTCACATCTGGCTTGGATCCGTCCAAACATCAGGCGGTTCAGGTAGTGGACAACCCTACTCAGTCCACCCCGGCGGGTGCCACTTCCGATTTACTTGACCCTGGGGATGACTCAGGCGATCCGGGCCCCTCAAGGACCAACTCGCTACTCATAGGCCCACGTGAGGGTGCCGAGGACGATGTTCACATGTTGGACGAGGCTGCTTTAGCCTCACAGGTTCCTAATTCGTTTTGACGGGTGTCACCATCTTCGCTACGAGTTTCCTTATGAATATTATCTCTTGGAATGTACAAAAGCAGCTTCGACGGCTTTTTTCTGAAGTTTCTCTACGATTACTACTCACTATAACCCGGATGTGTTTGTTTTGCTGGAGCCCCGTATTAGTGGCACCAAGGCTGATGGGTTTATAAAGAAAAGTGGTTTTGGTCGATCGTTTCGAGTGGAGGCCCTTGGTTTTTCTGGTGGAATTTGGATTTTGTGGCGGGAGAGGGTGTCCCTTACTGTCCTCAAGTGCCATCACCAATTCATCCATGCTAGAATTTCCAAGGACGACATTACCTTCCTTGTCACATTCGTCTATGCTAGTCCTAATGCTCGGACTCGCCGCACATTGTGGCAGGAACTTAAGGCATTATCAATGAGTACTCACGAACCGTGGCTCCTTGGGGGCGATTTCAACTGCATTCTTCGGCCCAGCAAACGGACGGGCGGTGCTATGGCCCGCACTTCTTCTAGTCATGAGTTCTCATCTTGGTTTTTTTACAACAGCATGGAAGAACTGCGTACGGACGATGTGCTTTATACGTGGGAACGTGGGAACCTAAAACAGAAACTCGACCGATTTGTGGCCAATCTGGACTGGATCAATGCCCATAGCGCGAGCTCCGTCCAACATTTTCCGCGTATCAACTCGGACCACTTCCCTCTCCTTGTTCGTATCCCAATTCACCGAGGGGTTGTTCGTTCCCCCAAAAACCATTTAAGCTCCTCCACGATAGGTTTGCTGAAGTTGTCCGGCACGCTTGGGATGGCAAGGCCTATGCCGATACGAGTAAATGTTTCCAGGAGCAGACGAGCCAATGGAACGCCCATGTCTTTCGCAATATTTTCCAACGTAAAAATCGGATTCTCCGCCGTCTTGCTGGGGTTCAACGTGAGCTTAAAAAATACACCACTCCCCGCCTACGGGCCATGGAAGCTTCTTTCTGTAAGGAGCTAGCCGATGTATCTCTCCAGGAGGAGATCCTGCTTTTGCAAAAATCCCAACGTGACTAGACTTTATTTGGTGATCGAAACACGGCTTTTTACCACAGGGCGGTTAAACAACGTCGTCACCGTAATCGGATTACCTGTTTACGGGATGCTGCTGGAACTTTTTTCCACGTTCCCAACACTATTAAGCTCATGGCCCTTGACTACTTCCGTAGTATCTACGTGAATGACGGGCCCCTTCAGGCGGGGCCGGGGTTGCCTAATTTTTTCCCCAGACTTGCGGACTGTTGTCTTGCTCCTTTGGGCCGCGAGGTTACAGATTCTGAAATCTTTCTTGCTCTCGAAGGGATGAAGCCGCTGAAGGCACCCGAACCAGATGGACTCCACGCTATGTTTTTTCAACGTCAATGGGCCACGGTTGGCCCGGCTGTGTGTGCCATGATCCGCTCGTTTATGTCTGGTGGCGACCTGCCTTCGGAGTTGAACAATACCGTGCTCGTCCTCATCCCTAAGGTCGCCAACCCTGTCTCCATCCAGAATTTTCATCCCATAAGCCTTCTTAATGTGGCATATAAGTTGATCACGGAGGTTCTTGTCAATCGCATGAAGCCCGTACTCCCTTCGCTTGTTGGCCAAGCCCAGTCCAGCTTTGTGCCGGGCCGTCACATTACCGACAACATTGTAGTGACCCAGGAGTTAATTCACTCTATGCGCAAAAAGTTGGGCCGCAAGGGCTTCATGGTCATTAAAGTCGACTTAGAAAAAGCATATGACTACCTTCGGTGGGATTTTGTGGATGAAACGCTCCAGGCGGCTGGCTTCCCTAGTCAGTTTGTTTGGAGTATTATGGCGTGTGTTCAGTCTTCGGCTATGCCCATAAGCTTTAATGGCACGACGACTGAAGCTTTCTTTCCCAATCGTGGGGTACAACAAGGGAACCCGATGTCACCCTATCTGTTTGTGCTCTGCATCGAAAGATTGGCACATCTCATCCACAACCATATTGAGGCCGGCGTTTGGCGACCCATTATGGTCGGAAGAGGCGAGGTCCGCGTCCCACTTTTTATGTTTTTGGACGATCTATTGTTGTTTTTGGAGGCGACTGACGATCAGGCTCTTCTAGTTAATTCCGTGCTTGATGATTTCTGCGCATTGTCGGGTCTTCGAGTTAGCCGCGCCAAAACGACCGTCTTTCTCTCCAAGAACACTTAACCGGACTACCAGCAGGTCCTGGCCAGATCAATGGGGATTTCAATTGTGAATAACCACGACAAATATCTCGGCGTCCCAGTTCTGCACAGTAGGGTCAACGCCCACACTTAGAGCACGTCCTTGAGCGGGCGGACGCATGTCTTGCTGGATGAAAAGCTAACACAATGTCATTGGATGGCCGCTTAGTCCTCACGCAATCTGTGGTTTGCTCCTTGCCTTATTATACTATGCAAACAGCTTGGTTGCCAACCTCGACATGTGAGGGCTTGGAGAAGAGATGTCGTAACTTTTTGTGGGGTGGTAACGACACGAGCCAAAAAATCCATCTTGTGCCTTGGGACGTGGTCTGTCAACCTAAGGAGTCTGGTGGTCTCGGCCTCAAACGACAACGTGAAATGAATATGGCCCTACTGATGAAACTAGGATGGACTCTCTTGACTAAGCCGCAATCTCTTTGGGTGCGCATATTCGTTGCTAAATAGAAATTGGTACCTGCCTCCATGAACGCGGATTTTGTATTTCCACGAGGTTCTTCCCTCCTGCGAGCACTTCAGAAGGTATGGTCGTTCTGTTGGTGTTATATACTTAAGCTGTGCTTTAGTGGATATTTCACTTGTTATTCC